GCTTTCCAATCTACACCAAAACCTGATATATTGCCTTTACTGCATTGCTCCAATTATTGGCCATGTGTCTTATAATGCTAATAGAGGCCAGAATACTTTTAAAACTTTTAAAAGAAAGCTAAAAAAATTAAAACACTGCTACTACTAGCATAATGACGTGTATGCACTTCAGAGTATACCTAACTTGATCAACGTAAATGCTTTACCTAAACGCAAGCATTTTATGAATATAGAAAATAAAGCCTTAGGTAGTGAAAGCCCAGAATCATCAAAACCTCGGCTTTTTAAATCCCATGTGAAGTCGAATTCTTTTGGCAAGACTAAATTCTTCATAGTTAACGGAAGCATTGTTGACGACCCCGATTATTATTTGTGAGCAATTCAGCAAGCACTTCTTGCAATGCCACAAAACTGGAACTGAAAGCTCTATCAGTACATTCTCAATGCTGACATCCTGACTTACTTAAGTCACGGAGCATTCCATGTACCTAAATAAATGGTTGCTAACCCCATGCCTGACCCTTCCCCTTTATACGGGCTTGGGACCGGCAGTAGCCCCCGGAAGGGACTCCAGGCGGAGTTCTGACATCCAGACACCTATCGAAAATTGCTTTCATACCCTCCAACACCAAACAGGCCATAGCTGCCGTGAAAAAGTCTTTTGATTGTGGACCTGACGGGATCCCTTCATCACTTGTGGAATATGGTAGTAGAGATTTTCCACTATTTTGTTTGAAACTTTCCATTTAATCTGTGGAATATGGGGCCTATACATCTTTATGGAAAACATCTCTTATCACCCCTAGGGTCAAAACAGGATCACGTAATGATATTGTTAAACTATAGGCCAATAAAGTTGACATCCGTGTTATCAAGAACCATAGAAATAATCATCCACAGACAGCTATTAACATTTTTATTTTCGGCTAGTCTGATTAGCTTATCCCAACACAGATTTATGACTGAACGCTCATGCTTCATATCGAACCTGGCATTTTTTGACCAAATTACCCTGAGAAGAGATGTTCTTCAGTCAGTGATAATTCTTTACTTCGATTTAAGTAAGGCTTTCGACAGTGTCTCACACAAACGTCTTCTTCTAGACTCTCTTCATGTGGCATACAGAAACCCCTTTTTTCTTGGCTCAAATCCTTTTTACAAGAACGTGGCCAACTCATTCTCTTTGGATCTTGCTACTCTAAACCTGTGGATGTAACCAGTGGGGTTATACAAGGAAGTGTGATTGGTCCATTACGCTTTCTCCTTTTATCAATCATGTGTGTTCCCTCTTTCAGTATGGTAAACCTTTCCTTTTTGCCAATGATCTGAAAGTAGTTTATTCATTCTCTTCTCCAACAAAAGAAATCTATATTTCAGTGTTAATCGAAGAAGAAATAAACAAGTTATACGAATGAACAGTTGATGGATTTGCCACTTAGTGTTGACAAAAGTGGATTTGCTCACATTGGCCACTGCCTCAACCTAAATCTGGCTATACACAAACATACGCTGAAACCTATCAACACTGTTCGTGATTCGGGTTTAAGATATGGCAAGAGTTTGAGCTCCTCAACCGTGTAAAACGGACTGCCAGTGAACCTCCGTTGCAGTGAACCTAAAACCCGGTTTAGAAATCTCCTTGATTATTTTTTTCCGAAACTGGGTTGTGCCACCTACTGAATATCAATGTGTTTAATAATGATTTACACAAGCAAGGTCCGTCATCCAATTGACTGAAAATCAAAATGTAACCTTTGAAAATTTTCATGTCTATTCTATTTCTATTCATCTTAATATATGAAGCCTGCTTATGTTCGTATTTATAATTATTACTGTTATTAATATCATTATTGGTCCTTCGACACATTAGATATTCTCTTTATTTCTTCTTATCCTTTTAAACAAATATTATTCCTAAACATCCAAAGTCTATAGCTAAAAACAAATTATCTCACGGTACACTCAAATAAACTAACTTCTCAGATTCATTTTATCGTCATCACATATATGTAACACATGGAAATTTATGTTTGATTATCCTTTGCAATTAATTGTGACTTTCATAGAATCATTCTTAATACTAATATCCGGTTTCACTCTGTATACCATTACATAAGTCTATATGTATTTATCCGAGTGCAGTAAAGGATTTTTTGGATCTTATTTTATTTTTAATTTTTGGTTTACTTCAAAGGTCGATATTTATTATACGATTATTATTATTGTCATGGTTTACACCTTTCACTAGGTGTCCATTTCTTTTCTCTCTTTTCTTTTTAAATAAATATTATTCTTAAGATGGCACGTAAATTAACTTCTCAGACTCGTTTTATATTCACTATGCATATATGACTCATATATATTGATATCTGGTTATCCTTTTCACTTAATTGCGACTTTTATAGCATCACTCCAAAATATGACTGCACAAACACTTATTCTGGCGTCATATCTTACTGCAGTAATAAGTTGTTTTTTCTTAATTATTATATATTTTATTTTTTTTACTAATATTACGATACATACATAGTTGTTTATTCTTGTTCTATGTTCATAAACACGCCTATTAAACTATTAGCGTATTTCACGTCTCCTTTATTTCCATTTTCTTATTTTCGTCATTCCTTCTTTAAACTAAATTCAATATACTTCTCAATTACACAAACCCGATTTATGATTATTATTATTCCATTATTATTATTCTCTTTTTCAAATATGGCAAATATAATGCTAACATTATTGAAAATTGTGTATTAATGCATTTTTGAAGAAACCCGAAATGGTTTCTTCACAACACTTATATACCCATAAGATGTTTGTGAGTAATAATCATAATAATGACAGTAGAAAACCACAGACGTCTCTGAGAAGCTGGGGTTAGATTAAAAATAAATTGCAAATGTTGGTTTCGTTTTGGTTATACTGTGTTTTCTGTTTATTTTCTTGCCCTCATTACTTGTACAATACCTCTATCCTCATTACTATTCAAGCTTTCTTATTATTTAAATTCTGTATTCCTTCAAACTCATTTGCTTCTGGAATTATGTTATATTGAGCAAACAGTTTGAGCCGACCGTGTTCAACTCCATGATGATCAAATAGCGTTGATGTTTACGATAAATTTATCCTAATTAAACCAGTATATCTTCTGTCGAATAATCATGTGAATTTGACGTAGAAATAAGATGAAATCCGAGATGATTCAAGATGTGCATGTTTTTCGGTGAATTTGTTCGGTAGACAAACGAAAAGAAATAGATGCGAAGTGGAGTGACAGTATTGACTTACTGAGTAATTAAAGGATGACTCTGTTTTAGTGTAAGTTGAATAATGCATAAATTACAGATAGCATGTACAGACAACAGACATATGAGACAAGTATACATAAAACACACATGAATGTAATTACCAAAGCTATAAACAGCTTAAGCACATAGAAAGTTCATAAAACCCCTGGCTGGCTTAGAATGGCACATACACAGGATGAAGCAGCATGCAGGTTAAACTGTTAGCTGAAAAATGGATAAAAGAAGAGCTGATAGGAATTCTGAAATGCCAAATGGTTAGAAGATTCTAACGAGGTATTCATGCAGCAGACAATAAATGGTGAAGGGCGCCACAGGTGTTCGGAGTTCGAAAACGTTTTTACAAGTAACACTCTTATAATCGAAGTATACCAATCCGGTGAAATCAGAGGTCAGTAATGAAGAGGTTAGAAGATATAATTGGAAAGCTATCGATATACGAAGAGGTTGGTTGATAGTTGCAAGGGATGCGTAGCACGTCTACCAACTCATGACCTTGTAGTGACTCACATTTATCACGAGAACACGACTGGTTTAATAAAAACGCTTATTATTATAACCAAGTGTACCAGTGACTGTTTTAATGTGCTTTTGTTTGACTGTGCTAATGACAGCTATTTTGTGCTTCCATTCTTTTACTTACACTTCGATTGTGACTTCGCGCGAATTCGGTTACCTTCTGTAACCAAGGTTGTATCCTGACACGACCTCGGTATCCTCTCGATGCCACGAGATCGCCAGTAAATATAACTCGACTTGGTCCCTTACTTGCCTTCTGGTATTTGGCTTGTCGGGGATTTTATGTACTTATTTGGTTACGTTCAACCCACGCCTTCTGATTTACTTGGCAAGTGTTTCTTTGTAGCGGTGTTCATAGTTAATCTCAACTCGACGCCACGCTACAACGTGTTGCGGTTAGGTGATTTGTGGGATTTATTTACCACTACATGTTAATTCCGAGGTGCTGGAAACGTTAATAAGTGTAGGGCGTTCGTTGTTTCGATCACTGAATCAGCAATTTTAATGAATAATCAATGATTTTATATAGGGTATGAAGTCCAAAGTAAATTCTGTCAGTAATAACTCAGTAACGAGGACTCAACTGTTATCATCAAACATTTATGACAATTATTTTAGTGATCATTCAATTTTACAGCCTGTTAAATGGGAACAAGCATTGTAGATGCCGTAATGCGATTGCCAGTGATAATTAGTGACAACCATGCAGAAAACAGACTGTCAATGATGACGTCATTTCCAAAGTTTAAACAACAGTTTTGTAGACAAGGGGTGTCTGAAGTAGGGGAAATGACGAAAAATGCGAGTAATACCAAAAATTATTCACTCGATAGGATAATGTTAATCATTTTCAATGTTCTGTCCTTTAGAGTTAACGGCGACATAGGGTGATTCTCCGGTTCACGCTAGCACAGTCCATTACATAAGTCCCTTAAAGGTCACTTTAGCAAATAAGAAGACAGTCATCAGTTTCGCTTTCCCAAACTAGGGAATACCAAAGGGAAGACGACATTTGTTTTTTAATTCCCTCACATGCGATGAGATGTCGTTTTTTTACACTAGCACTTTACTCGTAATAATATTATGTCTGTCATAAATATTATATATCTATCACAATACTCTATTTTTTGCCCATTATCTATTTTGAACCCATATGGATATGAAACAATTATTCACTAAGCTACGAAACCGCTTTATTTGAGATTCACGTTGCGGATATGGGTGTGTCGTTCCTGTATCGTTCCAAAACCCAACGGTTCTTTAAATGCTGTGTTTATGCACTAGGGTACATTTTATTGTTCATAACACTCTTTTTGTTCTTAGTGCTTCTGCCTTCTTGGTTGGAGGTCGATGGGCCCTTGCTGACACCAGCATTGTGGGCCTAAGTAATAAATGCTTCTCCGTTTCCTGCGCTAGCGTACCATTTGTTACCAAGTTTCCTGAAATAAATCTAAATAACTGGATGTGCTTGCCTGTTTCTGCAGTCGACGAGTTACAGGTAGACTTCTATAAAGTGTTAAATATTTCTGCAGTCAGGTGATGAATGTTATCGCTCAAAAATGGAAGTGTTGTGCATGGAACTCCAAGTGAGATTATCTTTCAAATATGCTATGCTTTAGACTGTATCGTTATCAATTTATTGGTGTGTGGCGTTCATTGCCCTACCTGGCGAGACTAATTTATGGGCGCGTAGTTCATCTATACATTTGGCTAAATAGAATTATGGCATTATAGGTGGTGTCATTTCGTAATGAAAACCCTAAATCCAATTTCTATCTCTAACCATCAACTGTAAATGAGAATTCTAACTGCTTTATAACTCTCATTTAGTCCTATTCAGTAGGCGTCCACTCTCAAGGCCACTTCAGCGTCGCTCAAAGGTTGTCCATAAATTATAGTCTCACCGTGTAAATTTTTAATTATATCCCCTCAACGTTTGGAGAACGTCACGTTGATGTGTAGCAATCTATTTGTGACTCGCTAGTGTGCACTCGTCGTTTTTAACTCGTGTTCATATGCAGTTGTTCTCTGTTTTTTGTTGAGATTCTTTGCAATACACCTAGTTGATCGATATCGATAATCCCAAAAAAATTATTCGTGTGATTAAGAGTTCATTACCTAAAGATAACATGTTTGTTTTGACCCAGAATGTTTCAAAAGCTGACATTTCAATATCGCCAAATAATTATTTGGTCGATCATACTCATTTTAAACGTTTAAAGTAAATTGTGCTGACTGTTGACTAAGAAGGTCTGTATAAGCTGAAGATGTTGAAAGGAGTCACTAAAAATGATTATTAAGATAAGTTGTGACTTCCTGTCTGTCTACTATTTTTTGATGTCACCATGTAAATTTATAAAAGTTATGTAGTATTTACTTAAAGTTTTGATTAGTTTGGGTTTTAATTGCCATTGTGTATTATTTACTAGTTAAAAATTGAGGTAATGTCTGTCACAGTTAGATAATCACAGATCAATGAATTTAATTCACAAAAAGATAGTTCTACGTGACTGAATTTCATAACGTGTAATAAGCAGTTACTCATACAGACTGATTTTTATGTTTTGGTAGTTAGTTATATACTAAACGTTTTATTTGTTTTTTTTATAATCTTTTAGATAACAGACAAGTTGCTAGGGTTATTTGGACATATGCATGAACTATTTACTTTTCTTTTGTTGCCTGCTTAAGTTTTGACCTTACGTAGATTTAGTTTTCAGCATTGTCACTGTAATAAAAACTAAAAAGTGTAAATTATGATTGGTGATGACTCTGGTGCTCTGATTCTTTCATATGTAAACGTTATTCACATCATTATCTGTAATCTAAAATATGTTCTTAATCTGTTGTAAATTTCGGTAACTCATAAATTTCACTCCTATATTCATGTGTCTTAATTTTATTAAAACAGCTTATTGTTACAATCTCTTTTGAGGAGTTAGTCGGTTGTAAGACGTTTGGACTTGAATACAGTTACATTTTTGAAAAATGTATTCATTTAAGTTATGCTTCGTTTAATTGTTTATTTCTAATCATTCTCTTCTAATCTCTTTTTAACTGCTCCTCCTTGAGTTTTGTATACTTGTCTGCTTATTCTTTATTCAAGGGTCGCTTGTGTAAGGAAGTTGAAAAGATTGATGGGAAAGCCAAATTCAAAGTGGACAAATGGGAACGTCGTGCTGTAAGTTGTGATATTCCGTTTTCCATTTTCAAGCTTAGTTTATATCCAACTCATTTACCGGGTAAAGGCCTGTGAACTTAAGTTTGACATTTACCGGTTGTTCAAACCGTAATAGGCGGAGAACCATTTCTTACCTAAAACTCATTGAGTGATTTCCACACCCTTAAGTAGCAAACCGGAATTCACTATACAGTCGTCAGTCGGTGAAGATCCATGCACTTCGTTTTTGAGTCCCACTTTTCTGTACATATGTAAGTTAGTAATACCAACCAACTCATTGCCTAGACCAAACTGAATAGAGTTGAATAAGTGCCTGTAATTCAGTAATCAAAAACCAAATGCTTTAGAGTGCTAATCCGACGTTCCACTTGTTTATAAATATTGTTAAGTTTATAACTGTGTTGATTAACCTCGGAGTTTTTCAAACTCAACTCATAAATCATGTCAGGTGAATACAAAACACAGGGCAGAAACTGTGATTCCAGTGCATATTATAGGAGAGATCATTAAAATACACCATGAATGTAAAATTCATATTCAACAGGAAAATATGTGGACAAATAGGTGTCGCCATAGTTTCATCATTGTGTCTCATATTAGCTGGCTTTTTTCTAGATAAGCTAGAGAATGGTTCACTGGAAAATTTTGCTGCCGAATTGTGAATTCTGTGTTGATCCTTTGTAAAGACTATATTGACCTGGTAGGCATTCAAAGATTTGGTGAAGTTCACCCTCCTCCTAAATTTACATGTGGGAAGAAATAGGTGCATAATAACCCTTCTAGGTGTCCTATTTACAGAGAGAGTAAATGGGTCATTATAAAGGAACTTGAACCAGAGAACTACTTGGATGGAGGAGTAAACAAGTTTCGCTAGTTTCGTTTCTCTACAATATAAACGAAATGTAGTTGGTGCATTTCATTATAATTGTAGAGTGAACAACTGTACTGTGTAATACCCTAAAGGAAAACAGAAACTGGGAGAGACTCATAAATGAGGATTTAGTCCTAACGGCAAGTAAAATGTCCCCGTTTATGCTGTTTATGGTACACACTCAGAGAAATGTTAATGTTAAAATTGGGCAGAACAATTTAAAAAGCATTCAGTGGAGGTAAACTAAAATTAGTGTTTTCTACACGTTCTCTGTTTACTCCGAAATTAAAAAAGTAAATTACCTGCACTAACCAGCTTTTCCTATGTCTATCAACTTATTTACTCTTGTGGAGCAAGTTATATTGATAAATGTTTCAGGAATTTGTACTTTCGTGCTCGTCAACACCCCTTCGTTGTTAAGCAGGGCTATGGTTAACATTTTGTACAAACGGGCCATACAGCCAACGCCGATCAGTCATTTACGGTGTTAATAGTTATCTGCTTAAATCCGTCAGACTAGGAATTTTACACACCGTCGAAGCAATAGCTATTCAGGCTAAAAAGCCTCAGCTTTGAGTTTAGAAGAAATATGTCTGACCCCTCGCCTTGGGCGACTTCAAACCCAATAACTTACTAGTCATTTTATCGAAATAGTGATATGTGATTAGTCTACTTACAACCTTTCTCTTTCTACATTCCCATGCTTTAAACCTACCCTGTTCACTTATATTATTATGATCACGACTCTGCTAAGCGTTTGAAAAATTGAATTAGCGATAGAGTAGTGATGCCTCTGTAGTTCTCACGCTTGCTCAGATATCTTTTCTTTTGGTATCTTGATCAGGTGTCCTTCTTTCCAGTCTGAATTAGCACCCCACTCCAAGTTATTATCTCTCACCCAATTCATATCATTCTATATATTACGTAATTTACGGTCAATATTCATTCTGGTTTGTAGTTATATTGTTGTTTCTCAGTGTTATTTATATCTACTTGTATTGTTAATCTCACGATTACAATGATTATATAAACTAGTTTAACACTATACACTAGTCATTTCAGCATTGACGTATTAGTTATTTCAATGATAACAATTCTATTTTATTTCCACTAACAATCCAAACTTTCATAAACGTTCATTTTAAATTATGTATTTTCCTTAAACCTGGCTGTCCTCTTCAGGACGTTAATTTAGATTTTAATCATAGGTGATGAGAACATATTGAAAAGACTATTCTTCCAAACACCTGCTTTTTTAAATTGGATGGAGATATGGAGGAACATATGTTCTTCCAAGTAAGATGTGAATTTATTGAATTTCCTCACATTCTTACTATACTCTATATCGATGTGTGTTTAGCACTTCCTCCAACTAAACATGTTTATGTAAACAGTTTCAACCCATTTTCTAGTTAAGATTTTTAAATATTGAAAGTTTTTGTAAGCAACTAACAAGAACCGAACAAAATAAAATAGAATCATGTTATTCTACTTAAATCTTTGTTCTTTCTTTCTTCAAAAGGCTAGAGAGAGGTATGTGTATACATGGGATAAGTTTAAGATGCATGATTGAACCAATCAATTGATCGACATTTTTGACCAGTGTTACAAGTTTAAAACCATAATCCATTTACTTTAAGTTGGTCAACCTTATAGTATCACCGAAATTCATACAAGAGATTTTACAGAACCTTATATGATTTTTCAAAGTTCAGTATATCTATCTGTTATGACTGTGATGCTGCAGATTTGAGGTCAGCGAATTATCGATCCAGTCATTGAGCCAACAATTCGAAGACAACTCCTTACTATTCAATGCGCGCTATCGATGTTTGAAGCTCACTATGAATGAAGATGAAAATTTTTTCACACATGTGGGTATCGTCAACCGAGAATGTGAACGCTTCCGGTTGAAGTCACTTACTGAAGACCAATTTAAAGCACTCATTCTCATCTGCAGCCTTCAATCGCAGAAGTTCAGTGACATTAGAACACGTTTGCTAAGTCGATCGGACCGAAGACGCGCAAACACGTACGAACGACCTAGAGTCCCGGTTGGCCCTGCTTCGCTGTCTAGCCCAGCCAGTTGAGTTCAGAACGCAAGTTTCAGCCTCAGATATGAATCATTATATTTCAGACAGACTCTGTTTATATACCAACCAAACAAACCACATCGTACCGTAAAGTAGAAAACAACATTTGTACAATATTCAACAAGTGAAATAAATATTGACCAATAGGGAATGTCCATTTAAAGTCCAAGGACACTATTAGACTTAACATGATAATTATTGGTATATTTTTCCGGATATCCTAACACTATCTGTCAGTATTTTTAGTACAATCGCAAACATCCGTTGTATCCCCTCTCTCCATATATATGTACACTTTTTTTTCGTAAATAGGGTGGTGGCGGAATTTCATGTGTTCTAGAGAATGGTGATGTTTTTGAAAAGGCTGGTGTAAACATCAGTGTGATAAGTGGGGACCTTAGCGCTCAAGCTGTGAAAGAAATGCGTGCAAGGTTAGCTGTTTGTTTCTCTGATCTCTTTTTCATAATTCTTTTTAATTGTATTATTTTAACAGGATCCTCTTGGTTTTTATTTGTCAAATGTAAAAGTTGTTTTTTATATTCTATGATTTCATAATAATTACTGTACGGTATTGTGGAGAATGTTGGATTTGATTGTGATCAGATAACCACTGAAGACTAGGAAATATTGAGCGACTACTTCGTTCTTATGGGAGACTTAGTTGTACACGTCCAGCATTTTATCAGAGATGAGACGTCCAGAACCTTCAAACATCGCACCAAGTGCATGCAACCTTTAGATCACTTATCTGGCATTCAGTGGCTTGCATTTTCTAACTTCGGTCAATTGGCAATGCTAAACAGCCATCAATTCTAATGAAAAGCTGTTGTCAGGGGAGCTTAACTACATGTTGGGTGTGAGATAGATTTCACTAGTGGCAACGCACGAATGTCTTGAAATATCACGATCTGGTTAGAGTTAGAAATGTAAGCCACTGGATGGTAAACCAGTGATCTGAAGGTTAGGTTCTCGACGCGAGGACTAAAGTGCTTTGGGTTCAAACCTTATTGAAGCTGTGGGTACTCATTGGAGAGGAGTTTCATGCGAAGACGAGATATCCGTCCAATGTTTCCTGGCTTTCAATGGTTGTTTAACTGAGGTTGGTTTGATGTGTGAAACTTTAGCTTTCGGAGGTGGAGGAGGCAGTGTATAGTTCTGTTCCACACCTCAAACTTTGGAGAATACTAAAGTAAATGCTCAACCAACTTCAGGAAAAATTCAGTTTATTTCTAATTTGGAATGCTTATTTAACAACGGACTCAGTAGTAGTGGAAAGCCTTATTGCTTTTATACATGAAATTCTCGACTCTCATTATTGATTGAACTTATTTATCCTGCTAACTTCATGGATACTTATCCATGATAATATCGCATACTTTTAGAGTAATCTCTGCAAGAATGTTTTCCACTGGTTTCACAGATTAATTAGTTTCTTTATCTCTGCATCGCATGCTCCCATTTTCAAATCCATATACCCTTATATTTATGCGTCTTTTTACAGAAGCATGTTAAATGTATCCATTTAGTTATGAGTGACATTGAACCTGCCACATATATATGTATTCCTTCAAGTTACCACATCGCATCAACAAAGAGTAATCAAATTATTAAGACAAATACTAGAGTAGTAGAAGTGATAGTAGTATCGGTGATAATAATATGATTCAAGAAGAACAATCAATTTGTGCAATGAAAGGTGTGAGTATTTTGACGTCAAAGAGTGAGTACGTCCAAGCTGTGTGACTGATTCTGAGATATGTTGTTCAACGTCTCGTATAATTGGCTACGATAGTTATGTAATGTCGGTTACTATGTTAAGCCCATATAATAATTTATTCTAGCTTCTGGACAGGTCAATTTATCAGTTCTTGTTGAGTCACGTTTTGACCTTGTTAATTATTCACTTATCAATCTTGACTGTTTTTATGTAAGCGTATATGTGTGCCCTTTTATTCCACTCATCACATGTCTGCAACTTATTTTTGTGTGACTATAAATATTGATTAACGCTTGGTTAAATGGAGTCGGCTCATTTGCCTTTCCCATTGCGCATCCTTAAGTTTCACTTAACTCTCTCTCTCTTCTTCGCTTCGTTCGCTGCGATTCTCTGGTTGTCTGTTCCGATCAACGATCGTGCAAAATATACGTGTTCGAAATTGTTAGCGGGACATAGACTAGATTTAAGCATGCTCAATGCATGATTGCTTTGCTGCACGCTGATTGGCTGATTCTTATCCAATCAGCACTAGTCGATAGTTGGAGAATACTCTGGGATCTTATGTAAAAACTATAAATATACTGACGTTTTCCCTATTGTGCTTCTGACTTGCTTCTTGCTTCCATCTAACCTTGTTATTTGGAATATAATCTCCTTCCTGTTCAACCGTGTTCTGATTTGAGGTCTTGTCGAGTGAATCGGTGTCCAAGAATACTAAGCAATAGGAATAGCTGGGTCATAACCGTAAGAAAACAGTTATAACAGAAATCCATTCTCATATTTGACTTATTTAATTCCGTTATTCACTAACGCGTATTAAGTCGATAGTCAAGATGTATTTATCGACAGCAATCATTCATACGATCTAATCGGAGTCAGATATAAGACCACTAAAATCATATTTAATTCAACCAGATGATTTACATGTAATTGGATACAGTGGATGTGTTCAGACTAGCACTTATTATTATAATGCAGTTTTTGAATACCTAACTACAGTTTTCTTTCCATTCTAATATATGTAATTTGTTTCCAAATAGATAACGTAGATTATATCTGTCAGTTGAAAATAAGTTTTAGTTTACTTTTAGGGTTAGGTGTTAAAATTTTCTGATTAGTTACAATACAACGGTAGTTTTTGTCTCAGATGAGCAACAACTATGAAGTAGTAAACAGCTGTATCTTTTCTTTGTTTTGGGTCAACTTTTTGATACACATCCACATAGAATGAAACTTAGGGATAAACAGTAATCATATGTTGAGTAATAGCAATTGACTTCAAGATTACCAATATTTTGGTAGTAAGAAGTCATGATAGGTAGAGTTCAACGGGACAGTTATCATTAATTACATTTTGATAATGACCAATTAATGGCATGATTAAGGTTGATAATGTACCACTGAATCACATCTCAGTGATTTAGACATTTAAATACGCTTACCACTAAATCTAAAAATTCTTAGTTTGGTCTCTGATGAAGGTTTATCAGTGTATACTGTCAAGGAGTTTCGAACGCGGTGATGCAATAGCTGCCCAATATTATTACCTGTCTCAATAACATCTGAAATAACATCAACCAGTAAATCGAAAATCTCATTTTTTCGGTTTTACGTATATTAAACTGTTAGTGAACATAATCTTTTTCTCTTTTTTTTCTATAGACATAATGAAATTGATCCTAATAAAGAGTGCAAATTTTTCGCTTGTGGTATCAGTTCAGTTATTCATCCAGTAAGTTTATTTTCGAAAAACGTTTTCCTTTACGCATTAAAGTAACTTCATTTAGATATCCTGAATTGTATTTCCGTATCAGACACCGTTTCTACTTATGCTGTACCTGCCCTCAAATTCCGTGGTACGTTCGAGAGTGGGAAGAGTCAGCTCTTCCTCTCCAAATGCTCTCATATGGCTACGTACATACAATCATTGCCACGGAAGTCCTACTCACTACCTTCTCGCGGCGAGGGTTTTGTTTACAGAATTGAGAGGATGAAAAGCGAATGTCCAACGCTTTAACCGTGTTGGTGGATATGGAGGGTCCACCTAGAGAAGTCGGAAAACCCTCATTCCAGACCAATGGTGCACATGGGCTACAGAATCCTAAGGAAACAAGAGGCTTTGATTTTGTTGATGTCACGAGTCAGTGCGAACTTGGGAAACACTGAACGATCGTTTCAGGTGTTTGCGGACTAGACTATAAGTCTTGGTTTTGATTCCCGGCTATGGGACTATGGATGCTCAATGGTAAGGAGTTTTACACCAGGACGAAGCGGCTGTCTAGACTTTTAATCGTTTTCTGAGATCGCTTCGTGATATCAATGTGATTCAACAGTCTCCACAACCTTTTACTGATAGTTATCATTCGCCCACTAGTGGCTATCTCCAAGAAAAAGTCCCCGGAGTTCTATTGAGAATTCATGAACATTGGAGTTTAACCATATCGGGTGTTAGGAATTTATCCACCACTGGTAATGAAGGCTGATCGCTCAGTACCATGGATTAGTCGGAATCCGGGCGCGAGTTCGAAGGTCCTGGATTGGTTTGATTTTCTGGTTGTGGGGTCGTGGATGCCCACTGTTGAGAAGTATCACTATTTGATGTCTCTTCTTACCGGTGGTTCTACTTTTTTCCATTTCCAAGCTTAATCCATATGTCCCTACAACACACTTTAATTTTCGTTACTTCGAAGTTGATTTGGGTAACAATCGTAAATGTTGGTGGTATGGCGGCGGAGCAGATTTAACTCCATACTACTTATTTAATGAAGATGCTAAACACTTTCATGAGCAATTAAAATTGGCTTGTGATCAACATAACGAATCTTTTTATCCACGTTTTAAAAAATGGTGTGATGATTATTTCTATCTGACACATCGAGGTAAGTGTTATTTTTTTTAAAGCAAATATTTACTGATGCTTGTTACAAACATATCAGTAGTATGATAAGGGCTTATCACTAATTATTTAAAACTGATAATGCGCAACATTGAATTTTGATTTCAGTATTACTTCAGGACTGATCTGTATCAACGCTTAAACTAATGATAAGGAGTGAATTAGTAGTTTAACACACTGACCATTTCGCTTATCTTAAAAGTCTCATAAGCCTTGAATGGTTGGTGTCTGATGAAGTATCGGCATAGACTTAGGAAGGTCGGTTGGAGTTTCTTAACTTGCGTCACTTATGGTGTAGGCGAAATGTCTGTCTCGCCAGCGAATAACAAATACACTGCACGATAGTTCATGGTACTCTAATTTATGGTTTGGAAATGTGATCTTTAGAAATAAAGGATATTCATAGGTCACTAGTCGGTCAGTCAGTCAGCTACAACATAGGACCAGGCACATATATGCATCGGTCCAAGTTGCCATACCTCATTAGCATGGCAAGAGGAACACAAAATTCATAGAAGTAGTCATTTCAATGGTGGTAATATATAAAAGAAGGATTGAATATATGGACATCATTCTCATGTCTGTCTACATTACTCGGAGTAATGTGTTCTTTGGACTTCTTCTCCAAGCAATGGTTACGATAGTCAGGTGGACCACAAACAAAAAGTCTGCATCTACCAACATGGCTCAGATCAGAAGTCAGTGACTTCAAGCACTGATGCCACGTTTTGGTTTGCCCGCCCCTAACTTTCTTCCAACAATCCCCAACACCAGTTACCATTGCACATCGTGGTAATTGGTGTTCAGGCATACGCAACACAACACGTGACCCGACCATCTCAGTCGACGAAGAGTTGCAATCTCATCAACTGATATACCATCACTCCCTAATACCCTACGCTTCTAGCCTCACTAATACTTACCCGTTGATTCCAGCAGATGCCAGCAATATTTCTAAGGTATCTGTGATCAAATACTTGTAGCTTACAAGTATCGTCAACTCTTAATGGCCATGTTTCGCAACCTTAAAGTAGAACGGAACGAATTGCCGCGCCATATACTCGTCCTTTTATTAATAGACGAATATCTCGCCTTCGCCATAGGTGACGTAAGTTGGCAAAAACCAAATGAGCATTCTGAATCCGTGCTGAGATTTCGTCAGACACCAACACATTAGGGCTGATCAGACTTCCAAGAAAAGTGAAGATGTCAACGCGTTCGACTACTTCACTTCAAAACCCTCCATAAGCTGTTGACTTAGACCAGTCCCGGAACAACCACTTGCATTTAAAAATGGAGAAACACATCCCAAAAATTCTGGCATCGTCGCTCAGTGCTACCAAAAGACTGTGCATTTTATCAGCGTCTTCACTAAACAGGACTATATCATCTGCGTATCTTAAGCCGATAGGTGGACCTCCTGATAGGAGATCAATGCCCGAAAATCCAGTCGACGAGAGCGTTATTTCCAGCAGTAGGTCTATGATGAAGTTAAACAAAAGTGGAGATAATGGACAGCCTTGACGGACACTACTTGAGGTTGCAAAATCAAATGACAGTTCACCATAAGCTCTGACTGGACTAGTAGTGTTCGAGTAATGAGCGTACACAAGGTTTATGTACTCCTGAGGTACACCCTTCACTGCCACAGAACCTCTCGGTGTACAGGGTTAAATGCTGCTTTTAGATCAAGAAATGTCATTGTCGGACGCCGATTAGCATGCCTGTGCTCTAAAAACTGACGTGACGAATAGTGAATATGTGGTCGATACAAACACGACTAGATCTGAAGCCAGTCTCGTGTTTGCAGTTCACGAGTCTTAGTTAGTGTTGTGTCTTGTGGACTGCAGATTAGAGCGAAGCGTATTTATCGATCGGACCAAAGACGCGTAAACACGTAAAAACAACGTAGAGTCCTGATTGGTCCTGCTTCCCTGTCTAGCCCAGCCAGTTGAGTCCAGAACGCAGGTCTCAGCCTCTGAGATATGAATCATTATATTTCAAGCATACTGAGTTTATATACCAATCAAACCGACCACAACGTACCAATAAAATAAGAAACGACATTGTACAAGAATTAGCCAGATGTGGCCGTGAATGAGGGAGGTAGCGATGAACAAACAGGGAATAATTCATAAATGGCAAATCGTATAATAATAGTTCATAGGTCAAAATAAAGCTCACAATAAGAGGGACATGAATATGAACAGTTTAGTTACATAACAATTATACGATAAAAATATAATCATAATATTGGTCCGTAAATGCATCCCCAAAATTACCATTCATTACTCTTATCGGGAGACAACACCTCCCCTTTTTTGAAGATCCGGAGTTGATATCCGAATTTTAAATTTTCGAGTCCATCCTCCCCCGCGAAACAGTGTTGGATCCTCATATGCCAAAGTCACAATTAATTTGAATTTATTTAAGACATATTTGTCGCACTGAACAGAGGATCGACTGGAAGTGACTGAGTGGTGAGGCTGAACGACACTTGATATGAGGTGATCGAAGTTTGATTCTTCTGAAATATTGCGACCAAATTTATGGAGAACCTCACTAGTAGATAGTGGATCACTATAACAATTAGCGTTCAGCAAAACTGCACCAGGTTCTTGATTATTATTTGATGCGTATGACATATTTTCTGGCAGAACGAGGGAATCTTCTTGTGAGCTGGATACGTCACTATCTGTACATGCCATTTCGGGGACAATGGAGTTTGAATCCATGACAGGGCATGTTTCTAGAATGGAGAGTACTGGACCACCGGGTGGATCTTGAGTGACTGCTTCGTTTACATCATGCTCGTAAAGGATTCATAGAGGCTTTTATAGACACCTTCATATGTTCTGCAGTTATTTTCCAGCTCGGTATGCAGATGAGAAATTAACTTATCAACTTCTGTCGCATCTCCAAAACATGGATGATTTAGCAGCTGTGTGCGTAAGTTGTCCAAAATATTCAATTGGCTATTTTTGAAACGCTGCTGTTGTCGCTCAAGTAGCAACCGTAATCGGTCGGGAGAGATAGCCATTTCTTAACAACCAATGTCTTCCAAGGACACCGATGACCAATCTAGATGCTGACTGCTCGAAATAATTAGACTGAATTTCGTCCAATTACAGGCTGACCTTGGATTTAATTTTTTACCCCATCGCCAATTGTTGTGACCGTGTCTGCGGATTAGAGCGAAGCGGGTGAGACTCTAATTTATGGACGAGCCAATCAGAAGCGTTTGAGCAATTTCAAGGTCACGGAGCCAAGTACAACACCGGATGCTCATATACGATTGGTTTACAGCGGATTTTAGAGAAGAGGTGATTATTGACAGGCTACAAGAGATGAGACTACTAAGAAGTTCCTGTACCTGTGACTGCGGTTATCAAATGACTGCAGCAAAGTGTGCAGACTACCGTGATGAGATTGTATTTCGTTGTTCTTCATGTTGGAGGAAAAGGTCTTCTCGAACGGGGACTTTCTTCGCTCGATCGCGACTGAAACTGAGGCAGATCATGATAATAGTTGCAAATTGGATAATAAAGACACCAGTAACACTGGCTGCGGCGTTTGCAGATGTTACTGAAACTTCATCAGTCCAGTCCTGAGCTGCCAATTTCGGGGAAAATTTGGCCCATTTTGGGGGAGCCGCTTTAGTAAATTTAGGGGAAATAGCACAAAACCCCCAAAACTTCCTCAAACTTTGGGGATTTCCTCAAAGTTGGGAGCTTGGGGTGATATGAGTATTGCCGTGACATATGTGCAATTAAAATGACACGTGTACACCAATCATTCGGAGGAGTAGGATGTATTGTGGAGATAGATGAAACAGTAGTGAGAAAGCGAAAATACAACAGGGGACGTAGTATCAAGGAAGATTGGGTAAGTAGCACTTAGGAGAAAGGCTTCACCATTCAAGCTAAATAAAAGTGACTATGAATCCAAAACGTCTGTATTTATGGTTCATAGTAGATCTTTAACACAGGAGCATAAAGTTGTTTATTAAATTGATAGGTAACCAATAGGGTCATAATAGCCCATAGGAAAAAAATAGTACAAAGGTGTTAACATGTATCTTAAAGACTATTGGGTCTTCCTTCTTTCTTACCTTGTCAGGTGAGACACGTGGTGTTGGTGGAATATTTTTCGACGATTTAGATGGTACCTCACAAGAAAAAGTATTCAGTTTTGTAAAAGTAAGTGTCTTTTCTTTTAAAAAAAATTCCCTGAGCATAATCTCTGTTTTTATAGTTTGCATCATGGAATGGCCTCAAGTGTACAACAGTTAAGAACACTAAACAATTGTTTCGTCATGGTATGTGAATTCTCACTAGTGAGGATCCATGATCCCGTCGGTTATCGAACCCAGAACATTCAAGTCGCACGATTAGCGTGCACTCATTAGACTTTTGAACCAGCTTTCACTGGCTTACATGTCTATATTTATTCATTTCGCAATATTGTCTAATCATCGAATATTATTGATGGGTCCTGGTTTCAACCCCCCACTGCTAAGGATCACCATACTAGAACGGAATAGTTGCCCAATAACTTTTGATTGTTCAACTAACGTTATTCCATAATGTAAACTAAAAACTCCCTACGTTAATATTTACTAATTGTTTCGCCACTCAATTGTATTGATTTTAGGGAAAATCTTTACTGTTGTAGTGCGAATAATTAACTTTGTTGTTGGAAAGAGCTTAAAAGGTTTACTGATATCAATTATTATCATTCAAACTTCAAAATGGATATCTTTTGAATGTGTGTAGACTGTAAATTTGAAGCTTGGTGTAGGTTTTGATGGAGTTTTGTTCTCTGAGCTGCATGGTTTGGTTATGGAGCTTTCATCGTTCATCAGAACAAACTTCAGGTAGAAATGAAGTGCTCGAATTTCTCCATATATCGCTCACAGCTTGTCCTGTAGACCTCGATGTTAACTGGTTCTTGTTGACCTTGAACCTGTCATTGTTCACTTTTTTGTTTTGGTTGTATCTCCCATTAGGTTGACTTTTGGTCCTAAGTTAGTGCATACTTTTCCTGATTGGTTGATAAATTGGATCGATTTAAATGTGCTTGTTGATTGCTGATTGACCTGAGTGCCAAGCTTCTGAAAATTCTCTGGTGTTTTTGGAATTTCCTCTATGTAAGATTTCCACATTTTTCCAGTCAAATGAGTGTCCGCAGTTGTCCACATGCATTGATTTGTACGCAACACCTATTCCGAAGGTTTTCAGCAATCTCGTTGCAATTTCTGATATATCTTTTATGTATGGTAGGGTGATCCTTTTGTCGATTTCTGTACTTGACTTTTTTTCTGGTGACTTGTTCGGATGGTACTTTTTGATGAAGTTGATTGGGTAGCCGTTCTTTTGGAAGACAGTCTTCAGGTATTTGTCTTCATTCTTTCGTGCTGCCAGTGTGTTGTATTGTGTCCTTGCCCTCTTGAATAGTTTGTACACAGTTGATTTTGTGAGCTCTTGAGTTGTTGCTATAGTAGTTGAGAATTTGATATGTGTGGGTCGGCTTCCTATATGCTCCTTTATGAATCCCCAGAACCGACACAGGAAAATTGGAAACTCAAGTATATCGGAAGCCGACCCACACATATCAACAACAATGATAGATTTAAGGTAAACAAGAACCAGTTAACATCGAGGTCTACAGGACAAGCTGTGAGTGATATATAGAGAAATTTGAGCACTTCACTTCTACCTGAAGTTTGTTCTGATGAACGATGAAAGCTTCATAACCAAACCATGCAGCTCAGAGAACAAAACTCCATCAAAATCATCCACCTGAACTACAAATCTCCACCGTCTCAGTGTAGGTTTCTATCCTTGACACATCTTAACTAATGTATAAACTGCTCTCATCATCCCAATATTTTGAACAAATAAGTGGTCGAAAATTGGTTATTTTTTCTCTGAGGTTCCTCATTTTGAGAAATTAGATCGTACGATGATGTTGTCGACGGACTCACCGATTTAGTGACCCAGTATCTGATTCCAGTTAGGACGAATGTTTGCTATCGAAATATACATGCCACCAAACCTCGTATACAATCGTCGACTTAAATCGCGTTATTGAATAATGGAATTAAGTATGTCAAATGTGATACTTATATTTCATACAGTCGTCAATCGAGACAGACGTTCAGAGAAACCAAGCGAAAAAGCGAAGCGAAACAAAATGACGCTCATTGGAGAAAGCTCACTCAATAATTTTGACGTTTGATTATATTTCCTTGAAAAAGCTTAGACCAGATTGCCAGGCGAAACGTTTGATTTCAAATTAATTGTCTGAGATTTTACAAATACCCTCTTCCTCTTTAATGTCTCACATCAACTCGGCGCCCAAATACCGTGAAATTATTCGATGAAATTTAGACGCAAGTTCTTAAAATTCTTTCACACGTTATCTTTTATATTGAGTTCCCAAGAATCCAAGGGGTTATTTTATAATGGCGTACAACGTTACAATATGACTCAGTCTCCCTACGGTAAGGCGATTTTTTCTTATGGACTCACCAAAGTAACCTATGAGGTCATCATCACAGATTAACCCATTTTTAGGAAACTACTTGCAACCTCATCACTTCTCATGTTTCTGGGTCTGTGAACAACGAAAGTGTCTATAGGTTAATGTGATTTCATCAGTTAATAGCTTTAAGAGGAGGAGCCTATTACAGAGGATCTTGTTTATAGCAACTCTTAGGTCATAACATTTGATAATTCTGGATAAATATATTTTATTAATCGCATAGTAACAAAAGTCACTGTCTTCAATGCATGTCATATCTTCAATTCTCATTGCAACAGATATGCTAGTGTTTATTTCTAGTAACCATTAATTTTTCTACTTGACCGGGGGTTCGCGGTCGATTTGTAATCTTATTCCTGTTATTTGGACAGTTTTTACGAACTTCCTATAACTCCAGACCATATATACACTCAAAGAAAAGTGAAAAAAGCGTATGAGCTTCACTTCATGTTTAGTTCATGTATGGAGAATCGACTGTATTTATAAAGTTGAACGTGGCCTTGATCTTCTAGAACTTTCTGGAAACATACTAAATATAGTAACGATGTACTCAATCATCTAATCAAAATTGTGATAGATGATTTTTCGTTTTCTAGATATTTCGGAGATACTTCTTTTCAACACTAGCTGGATAAAATGCTTCAAGATGTTTTATAGGTTGTTGAAGTATTTGATGAAGGATATTTTAGGGAATCCTCAACACTGTTAAAGTAATTGCCGACTGTTTTAGTGACTAAAATTGTTTAAAGAGATTTTCATATTAAGTTATGCAATACATACTTACGCCTGTTACTCCCAGTGGAGAATAGGCCGCCGTTCAGCATTCTTCAACCCACACTGTCCTGAGCCTTCTTTTCTAGTTCTATCCAATTGTTGTTCATTTTTCTCATATCTGTCTTCATTTCTCGGCGTAATGTGTTTTTTGGTCTTCCTCTTCTCCTTTGACCCTGAGGATTCCATGTTGAGGGCTTGCCTTGTGACACAGTTACGTGCTTTCCTCAATGCAATATGTGTCCTCTTTAAAAAAGGCGCTAACTAGAAAAACTAATTCGAATTATACAATAAACTAATTGTAAATAAAACACTATTTCTCCATGCCTTTTGATTTTATTATTTCTAGTCGTGTGCTGAAGCAATCATTCCAGCTTACCTACCGATTGTTGAAAAACGAAAGCATTTAAAGTATACTAACAAAGAACGGTAAATCTTACTTATAACATACTATTTCAAGTGAAAATATTGTTTACATAAATGTGTTTATATATATCAGTTCTCGGATAACTCTCTTACGGAATTATGTAATATACAGTGTAGTTCATTTATCAAGTACCATTTTAAGTACTCGATTTGTTTAATGAATATTTTAATTATCAATATAAGGTTGTGTAGATTACTAAGTTTTTGATTGAGATCATGAACCGATTGATGTTAGACCACCATTGAAAGCGTGGAAGTACTGGACAGCCATTTTGTTCGATTGTGGGTTCGAATCCCGCGAGCGGGATTGTGGATGCGCACTGCTGAGGAGTCCTGGAAAAGGACGAAACAGCCATCGAGTGCTTCCAGGTTTTCCATGGTGGTCTAACATCAGTCAACTCATGATCTCAGTCAAAAACATATTTAAATTGTTTATCACGAATTATAGATATTGCTGGAACATTTTGTTCTACTTTATGAATGGGAAACAGTCATTAATAGTTTTGAATATTCGATCGTAAGTGTCTTCAGAGTATTGCTCGTGTATTTTGGGACCAAGTTTATGCATAGGATACTAGGTAAATATGGCGAATCGGTTGATGAGGTAGTGAATGTCCATCAAATGAGGTGCTTAGAACATGTGTTTTATATGCCAGACTATTTCCTATCTTGACTGGTGATGTTGTCCAAGTAGTTTTAAAGAAAACTGAAGATGACCAATCCAAGACTTGGATCCGTTGACTGTTGAATTAAGCCATATAGTTAGGTATAGACTAAATGGTTTGTGTCCATGTGATTATGGTAGCCCACAATTAGAATTTGTGTGTCGTTGCTCAGAATCAATAGTGCAGGTTTACTCACTCCTTGTTTTGTTTTAGAATTTGAGTTCAGAAATCCTATCATACGTTTTTTTCCATTTCCTGTAGCTGATCCCTTTTTTTAACTGTTACTTATAACTGTTGCCACTTCTACTACTCTGGGATTTGTAGTGAAATCATTCTATCTTACTGTGCTAACATGGTGTGGGGTAATTTAAACTGATCCGCTTGTGTTAGATTCTACTCTACATATGACTAAATGACTGGGTAAACCAAAATAAGTAAGATGAAATCTAAACTTTTAACTCAGTAATTCAACACTTAAAAATATTACTGGCATCTGCTGGAATCAACGGGTAAGTATTAATGAGGCTAGGAGCACAGGGTATTAGGGGATGATGGTATATCAGTTAATGAGTTTGTGAATCTTCATCGACTGAGATGGTTGGGTCACGTGTTGTGTTGCGTATGCCTGAACACCGATTACCACGACGTGCAATGCCAACTGGTGTTGGGGATCGTTGGAAGAAAGTTAGGGGCGGGCAAACCAAAACGTGGCATCAGTGCTTGAAGTCACTAACTTCTGGTCCGAGCCATGTTGGTAGATGCAAACTTCTTGTTTGTGGTCCACCTGACTATCGTAACCATTGCTTGGAGACTCTTGGCGTCATGGCTCAGAATCGATCACAATGGTGTAGGTGTATACACTCTTTGTCTTTTGTTAAACTGTGAGATGAAAATTGATTCATATCTTTATCTCTACGAAATAATTCTTTCTTCCTGTACTATATCCTTATACGCAATCTTTTATATATTATCACCATTGACTTAACTACCCCTATGAATTCGGTGTTCATCTTGTTGTGCTAATGCGGTATGGCAACTTGGACCGATGCATATATGTGCCTGGTCTTACGTTGTAACTGACTTACTGACTGGTGCTGATGTGATATGACAACTTGAACCGATATGCCAAGTTTTATGTTGATAATTACTGTTTTAGTGAGTAATTCAATGATCTCATACACTTCATTAAATCATAAATGAATCATCCAATTTCATTACATGTTTGTGTGTGTTATTTATTCTACCGGTAAATTTATTGATTGTTCCTTACTTATATCTTCTTACCTTTTATTTGCCAGTGAATGGCAGTTGGTAAGACGTGGACGTTATGTTGAATTCAATTTAATCTATGATCGTGGTACTAAATTTGGTCTAGCCACTCCAGAAGCTCGTATTGAAAGTATTTTAATGTCTTTACCACGTTATGCTGTAAGTTGGAAGTTAATTTACTATTTTCTCTGTCTTGTCAATTATTTCATGTGATTTTGACGTTTATTATCATTAGGCTTGACCACTGACTCCAGATCACAGTACATATAGTTTAATATTGAATAGTTAGTTTTCTACTAGTCGGTATACTACTCATTGAGAGGGAGGATAAGTCTACTTTTATTAAGAAGTTGAATGACACATGTTTTGTAAGTAGACACATTCTGCTGATAAGTAGTAGTATTAGTAGTAGTGCGTATAACATTTAATGGATATCATATAGAATTTCAGGTGTTTGGGTGCTTTTTTCGCTCATCAGTATAGCGAGTTTCTTACGCACATCACTCACTGTTTCAGTCAAACATGTTATCGCTGAGTAGTTCGGTATGTAATTGTGCTCTTATAGATCTGGGATATATATTGACACTGGTTAATCAGTCGACGTTTGTTAACCAATTTATTTCAATCGGGATTTAGTATGAGTTCTTTTATATGTTTCCCAACACTTTTCTCGAATTTAATTATGCCGGAATTTTCGAGGATTGAGTTATAGACGCTTCACTGGACACATTTTCCCATCCTTGTGATAAAAGATGTCTCCTCTCGGATGTGATTTCCTAGCGGGTTGTTAATTTGTTCGTCTTCATTTCAATGGTATCAAGATGTACGTCCAAGGGTAATTGCATTTATTATTTGTTCTCATCTAATCCACATGTCTCTTCCAATTTGTACTTTGTACATTACAGACTGTTGTCTCTTGACGATTATCCTAGGAGGACACTAACAGTGTTATAGAGCAGTTCTAGCATTTAAAATGCGCTCATATAGTTGAATTAGGTGTTATGAGACTCATATTCTAAATGTCCCCAAATGCCCTGGTATGGCCGAGAGTGGGGTGGGCCCTCCCTCCCTCTCGAAATGCTCTCACACGGCCAAGCGTATACAGCCTCTGCCAGGGAAGTCCTACTCACTGCCTTCTCGTGGCGGGGGTTTTGTTTGCGAAATCGAGAGGATGAAAGGCGAATGCCCGACGATTTAACCCGATTCCAAACCAATGGTGCACATGGACTCCAGTATCATGCGGGAACAAATGGCGTATGAACCAATTGTTGGTTACCGGCTTCCATGGGACTGCATCTCCTTGCGATGCTCCACTGCCTTGTGGGTTAGACCTTTAGGTCAAAGGCTCAGGTAGTGGCCCCCTGAGAAAACCACCTGCTTCGGTCTGGGCACCCGGGCAGTATCCGAGCCGTCACACAAGTCGAATGATCTATTTGGTGCCTCCTTGTGTTAATGTTTATGTGTTTAAATAAATAAATAAATAAACATATTCTAAATAGTCTGTTTGGAATTACATTCTACATAATTATATAAAAACCTGCACGTTTTTCTCCGTATTATCATCGGTTAAAGCGGGGGCAAACCATTGGTTTTCTCCTGTGTTTTCAGTAGCTGCGAGTGGTTGGATGAAAAGCCATCAGGAGCATTGTTCCCAATTAAGTAGCTAGCAAGGAGACGTAATAGCAACCAAGTTGAGAATCATGATGGTGCCCTGTATCATTATCAGTTTGATGGTGGTTATGTATGATGAACAGTTAAAATGTGAATATTTCCGTGACCGGTTGATCGTATGAACAAATGTACGGAATAACAAAGTTTCTGAACTTGCCCTGAGTATCGTAGACGAAGCAAAACATGTTTTAGTTTGAAACTTACCACTAGCTAGTATGCATTCAAAGATTGACTACAATTGGAAATACTGCTAACCACACGACCTAAAAAGTGTATCACCCTCAATGTGAGGTGAGACAAATATCCTGAACATATTTCTGTGATGAGTAGTAATCCATAGATGTATGTCGATGAACAGTTCTAAAATAAGGAGCACTTTGTTTTTTATTTATTTAAACGCAAACAGTTATACAAGTAGGCACTAACTAGATATGCGCCACATAAGTCGCTTGACTTGTGTTGTGGGCTGTGATACTGCCCGAGTGCGCAGACCGAAGCAGGTAGTTTCCTTGGAGGACCATACCTGGAGCCTTCGACCTAAAAATCTAATACACAAGGCAGGGGAACAACGTCAGGAGATGCAGTCCAATGGTAGCCAGTGAACAGCGATTGGTTCATACGCCATTTGTTTCCTTAGGATGCTGAAGCCCATGTGCACCATTAGTTTGGAATGAGGGTTTTCCAACTCCCGTAGGTGGATCCTCCATATCCACCAACCCGGGTAAAGAGTCGGACATTCGCTTTTCATTCTCTAAATTTCGTAAAAATCACCCAGTGGCGAGAAAACAGTGAGTAGGACTTCCCTGTCAGTGGTTGTATACACGTTGCCATTTGAAAGCATTTCGAAATCGAGAGCTGACTCTCCCCACTCTCGACCGTACCAGGGCATTTGAGGGCTAAAAAATAAGGAGTAAATAACTGTTCAGAGCATTAAAGAATGTTTTCTTTCTTTTCATTCGCTGATTCTAAGTTTTCTCTTTCTTTATTCCTAACATTTTCATTATTGTTATTTTAGCAATGGAACTATTGTTATGACAATTCACAGGATCCACGTAATCAATCACTCATTGAGGTGCTTAAAAATCCTAAAGAATGGGTTTAAACATGATAATGTAAATTCTTTTCTTTTAAACATTCATTACACTGTTGTATAAAGTTTTACTTCTTACAATTTTATCTCTTTATTCTACCTCTATATTTATTCATGTATATCATTAATTAGTTTATTATATTGTATTGTGATATGTACTTATGAATGCTGAATACATCAATAGGTGCCTGTCTTTTATTTTCATGTTGGTATAGTAGTCGATTGGATCCAACTTATTGTACAATGTTGTG